TCCCCGACCAGAGACAGAGAGAGACCAGAGACCAGAGACCAGAGGCTCTTTAACAGAACACAACAATCCAAACTTCTAAACTGACAGAACCGAGCAGAACCCTTAGAACTTTTAGAACCTTTAGAACTTTTCCTGAATGTGTTTAAAATGATCTGGAACTGGATCAGAACAACTATAAGAGACAGAGACTAGAACACACACATGGACCTGGTTTAGACCTGGTTTAGACCTGGTTTAGATCTGGTTTAGACCTGGTTTAGAGTTTAGTCCTGGTTTTAGTCCTGGTTTTAGACCTGGTTTAGACCTGGTTTAGTCCTGGTTTAGACCTGGTTTAGAGACCTGGTTTAGACCTGGTTTAGTCCCTGGTTTAGACCTGGTTTAGACCTAGTTAGTTTTAGTCCTGGTTTAGACCTGGTTTAGACCTGGTTTTAGTCCTGGTTTAGACCTGGTTTAGTCCCTGGTTTAGACCTGGTTTAGACCTGGTTTAGTCCCTGGTTTAGACCTGGTTTAGTCCCTGGATTAGACCTGGTTTAGACCTGGTTTAGTCCCTGGTTTAGACCTGGTTTAGACCTGGTTTAGTCCTGGTTTAGACCTGGTTTTAGTCCTGGTTTAAACAAAGTTAAAATGACTTGAATTAAGAAAGTTTGATCAGGTTTTGAGTAAATTTCACTTGAGTAAAAGTAAAATCATCTGCAGTGGAACAAAACTTTTTGTAGTTAAAATATGAAAATAAATTTTATTGCATTTAAAATAAAAAAAACAACAACTTTAAAATAAGAAAAAAAAATCAAATGTTGCTTAAATTTAGAAAAACATTTAATCCACTGGTCGATCATTTCACTTTTCAACTCAAAGTCAAACGTTTTTAATTTAAGTCATTTTAATTTACATTTTTAAATTAAACTGTGATCACATGTTTATTTATTTTTTGTTTTGGAAGTTTTGTGCAAAATATAAAAAAAAGAAGGTGTGATTGTTCGAGGGCGTCGAAGGTTAAACTTTTCTTACTAATCGTGTCACTTCTGCTTCTGTTTCGAGATCCTGGACTCTTTTGTGATCAAACTTCTGCATTCGAGTCGTTTTTGAGGAACAGAGTCTTGAGTCCAACTTCTCTTTTAAACCTAAACTTTTTTTTTTTAAAGCAATAAAATAAAATAAAAACACAGAGACGGAGAGCGGACGCGTCGGCTCTGTGACGGCGGAGGGTCCTGCTGTTTCCACGGCGACGCAAACGCTTCAATCACCGAGGAGAAAACACGGTCGGGAAAGTCTGAATGTCTCGTCCTTTTTTTCTAGTGGTTTTTGGACGCGCGCCCCCTGCAGGTGTCGCCTCCGCAGTGCAGTTTGTGTCTCTGTGATCAAATAAATAAAGAAATAAATATCACGGAACATTACAAAAAAAACATAACCACATTTATAAATATATTTCATGTTACAAATAAAGGTCACGACGTTCACAAAAACTTTTCTCCACTCGAAAGAAAAGGTGACGCGACTCACGAACGTCACTGCAGAAACAAATATTTATAAAACCATCGATCTGTGTTTACAGTTTTTGAGACAAAAGACCAGAGACCAGAGACCAAAGACCAGAGACCAGAGACCAGAGACCAAAGACCAGAGACCAGACCAGAGACCAGAGACCAGAGACCAGAGACCAGAGACCAGAGACCAGAGACCAAGACCAGAGACCAGACCAGAGACCAGAGACCAGAGACCAGAGACCAGAGACCAGAGACCAGAGAAGACCAGAGACCAGAGACCAGAGACCAGAGACCAGACCAGAGACCAAAGACCAGACCAGAGACCAGACCAGAGACCAAGACCAGAGACCAGAGACCAGAGACCAGACCAGAGACCAGAGACCAGACCAGAGACCAGAGAGACCAGAGACCAGAGACCAGAGACCAGACCAGAGACCAGAGACCAAAGACCAGACCAGAGACCAGAGACCAGAGACCAGAGACCAGACCAGAGACCAGACCAAGACCAGAGACCAGACCAGACCAGACCAGAGACCAGAGACCAAAGACCAGAGACCAAAGACCAGAGACCAGAGACCAGAGACCAGACCAGACCAGAGACCAGAGACCAGAGACCAGAGACCAGACCAGACCAGAGAGACCAGAGACCAGAGACCAGAGACCAGAGACCAGACCAGACCAGACCAGAGAGACCAGAGACCAGAGACCAGAGACCAGACCAGAGACCAGAGACCAGAAGACCAGAGACCAGACCAGAGACCAAAGACCAGAGACCAGACCAGAGACCAAAGACCAGACCAGAGACCAGAGACCAGAGACCAGAGACCAGACCAGACCAGAGACCAGAGACCAGAGACCAAGACCAGACCAGAGACCAGAGACCAGACCAGAGACCAGAGACCAGAGACCAGAGACCAAAGAGACCAGAGACCAGAGACCAGAGACCAGAGACCAGAGACCAAAGACCAGAGACCAGAAAGACCAGAGACCAGAGACCAGAGACCAGAGACCAGACCAGACCAGAGACCAAAGACCAGAGACCAGAGACCCAAAGACCAGAGACCAGACCAGAGACCAAAGAAGACCAGAGACCAGAGACCAGAGACCAGACCAGACCAGACCAGAAGACCAGAGACCAGAGAGACCAGAGAGACCAGAGACCAGAGAGACCAGACCAGACCAGAGACCAGACCAGAGAGACCAGAGACCAGAGACCAGAGACCAGACCAGAGACCAGAGACCAGAGACCAGAGACCAGAGACCAGAGACCAGAGACCAGAGACCAGAGACCAGAGACCAAAGACCAGAGACCAGAGACCAGAGACCAGAGACCAGAGACCAGAGACCAGACCAAGACCAGAGACCAGAGACCAGAGACCAAAGACCAGAGACCAAAGACCAAAGACCAGAGACCAGAGACCAGAGACCAGAGACCAGAGACCAGAGACCAAAGACCAGAGACCAGAGACCAAAGACCAAAGACCAGAGACCAGACCAGACCAGAGACCAACAAGACCAGAGTTTTGTGTCTTGGGCAGTTTAGACAGAAACTCTACGTTGAAGCGAGTTCAACTTTTCCACTCTGGATTGTGGTTTCAGATGTTTGTGTTTTTAATCCCCGAAAACTCTGTCACCAAAAACACTGCACATAGAATATTTTGTCGTTTTTACTAGAGCCCGACCGATATATCGGCTGGCCGATATTATCGGCCAATATGGGCACCTGGAGACATATCGGCTATCGGCCGATATGTTTGCTGATATGGGCCGATATTTCACGTGGGCATGTTACACCTCGTTATAAAGCTTAGACTCTCTACATTCTGTTCATTTAATCCAATTTACAGACAGATAAATGTCCTAATATGTGGCTCCACATCAGTATTTATCTGCGGTGTAATTTGTCTGTCTGTGTCCGTACTGTCCCTGAACACACCACAGAGTGACGTCACTTCACTCACGTGTGTTTGTTTACACCTGCAGACGTGCGCAACACTGAGATTATTTTCTTTTTACGGACAATCGGTTTGAGTCTGGATTAAAAGGACATTTATTAGTTGCAGAGCCTGTGATGTGGATGTGGGAGGAGCCTGTGTGATGTGGGAGGAGCCTGTGTGATGTGGGAGGAGCCTGTGTGAGCGGTGAGTGTTGGAAATACATCGACTTTGAAGCTAGTTTAGGTTTTGTTAGCGGTTAGCTGCTGTAGCTCCCGCACATAAACAGACTGTTTTCTATTGGTCTATTGTAAAGTGATTATATTGTCCGTATATTTGTTACTGGACCAGTATTGATATGTAAATGAGCTGTGAATAGACGTGTGAATGATCCACATTTATGCATATAATTAATTACCGCTGTGCGCAGCATTTACGGCTAAAGGCTAATAGCGGTAGTTTATTTACTAGCAGGAGTTATGGGTCGCGATCGAAGCGGCTCTTAGATCCGACTCTTTGAACGAACGGGAGCATGTTTCTTATTGGGAGCCGTGTTTTCTCTTTTTCTCACTTTTTCTCTTCATGTCGCATGTCGACCGTAGTTTGACAGCAGCAGCGGCTGAAAACGAAACTTTCAGAAATCTGCGTGTGCATAGGATAAAAAAAAAAAAAGTGCATATTTGGCTGCAGTTCAGCATAAAATGAATAAAACCAGGACTAAACTTGGGCTTGAAAGAGAGATAGAGACCGAGTCCCGACACTCAGTCCTGGTTCAGTTCTGGTTTAGTCCTGTTTCACACATGGTTTAAATCTGTTTTAGTCCTGGTTTAGTCCTTTTTCAGTCCTGGTTCAGTTTTGGTTTAGTCCTGCTTGCAACAAAACAATCAAAGAGTCGCTTGGGAGCCGAAAGAGCCAGCTGCTTTAGTGAGCCGAGCCAAAAGAGCCGGTTCTACAAAAAAAATACAAAAACTGGAATCCCCATCACTAGTGTCTAGAATGTGATGCAAAAATGCCATTAGTCCAACTGTCTGTAAATATGACGTGAAGAGTCAGAATAACAATAAATGTTGCCTAAATAAACCCAATTTAGAGTCAACTAGAGCCAAACCTAAGTTTTTTAAACAATTCAAGATTTACAGTGAATTTTTACATCACTAAATATATCGGGCAGCTCCAACTTCCATTATATCGGTTTCATATCGGCCACAACAAAATCCATATCGGGCTCTAGTTTTTCTCGACCAATCACAGCTCTTATCGTCCAGCGTCAAATCATCGGTGCAGGACTCTGGGGTGATGTTTGCAGATGTTCACGTGCACTGAAACTTGATTTGAAAAAAATAAATAAAAAATTGTGGATGAAATCGAAATCGCAATATCTGCCAGAAAAATCGCAATTCAGTTTTTTTTTTTTTTTTTTTTTTTTAAATCGGTCAGGCCGAGTCCAAAACAGACTTAGTAACGGTGCTCCCTCCTCCTCCCTCTCCTCCTCCTCCTCCTCCTCCTCCTCCTCCTCCTCCTCTTCCTCCTCCTCTTCTGGTTCTATTGTCAGATCTCTGCGCTCTGATTGGTCGTTCTTCCGTCAATCCGAACCCCAGCCGCTCTGCTCATTGTTGCTCCATCTGCTTTCATTGTGCAAGTTAACTGCCTTCTACAACTACTGCAAATACTACTACTACTACTGCAAATACTGCAAATACTACTACTACTACTACTACAGCTGCTGCTGCTTCTTCTTGTGGATTTGTTGCGTCTCTGTTTCGTGGCTCGTGGAGTTTTTTTCTTTTCCTCTCGAGTGTTTTGGAGGATTCACAGATGCAGGTCGGGACTCGAGGGGTGAGTGGGTTTGAAAATAAACAAACGGAAAATGAAGATTTGTGAAAGTGGGTTTCAAAAGAGTCTAAATATGTTTCAGTCCTGGTTTAGTCCTGGTTTAGTCCTGGTTTACGTATTTTATATCTTGTGGTTTTTGTTCAAGATTTGACCTGGTTTAGATCTTATTAAGACCCAGTTTAGTCCAGGTCTAGTCCCTGGTTTGTTACTAGTTTAGTCCCAGTTTAGACCTGGTTTAGACCTTGTTTATGAGTTCTCTTTTGGTTTAGTCCTAAATTAGACCTGGTTTAGTCCCGAGTTTAGTTCCTGCATAGTCCCCAGTTTAGTCTTGGTTTAGACCTGGTTCAGTCCCAGGTTTAGTCCCTGAGTTAGTCCATTAGTTAAGTCCTGGTTTAGTCCCAATTTAAACCTGTCTTAATCCTTGTGTAGACCTGGTTTAGTTCCAGGTATAGTCCTCAATTTAGTCCTGGTTTAGAACTTGTTTAGTCCTTGATTTAGTCCAAGCACCATTCTGGTTTAGAAATGTCTTAGTTCTGGTTTAGTCCTGATTTGGACCTGTTTTAGTCCCTGAGTTAGTTTTGTTTTAGACTTGGTTCTGGTTTAGTCCCAATTTACGCCCGTTTTAGTCCTTGTGTAGACCTGGTTTAGTTCCAGGTATAGTCCTCAATTTAGTCCTGATTTAGAACTTGTTTAGTCCTAGAACTCTCCTGCTTTAGACCTGGTTTAGTTCTGGTTTAGACCTGGTTTAGTTCAAAATTTAATCCTGGTTCAGTCCCAGGTTAGTTCTCGTTTTTTAGTTAAGTCCTGGTTTAGACTTAGTTCTGGTTTAGTCCCAGTTTACGCCCGTTTTAGTCCTTGCGTAGACCTGGTTTAGTTCCAGGTATGGTCCTCAATTTAGTCCTTGTTCAGATGTTGTTTAGTTCTTGGTTTAGACCTGGTTTAGACCTGGTTTAGTTCTGGTTTAGTTGGAGTAAAACAGTAGAAATAATTAGAATAACACTCTTTTTATCCTGCGTTGTCATTTTAAATTATTTTACGTCATATTTTTTTTAATTCCTGGTGTTTTTTTTTTGGTTCGTGTTTAAACGTGTGAGTGATTTCAGACGTCAGGTGTCGGACATTTGCTCTCGTTGTGTTTGTGTTTGCGTCTCGTGTTTATTCCTCTCCACAGCAGCAGGGGGCGCGCTCACATTCACATTCACATTTACATTTGTTTGTGACTAAACCTTGTGAATTACCATGACAACGGCGACGAGTTTGACCTCAGGGTAAAACCGAAGCTTCTCTGTTCTGCACTGAAGTTCCACTCTGACCACCACTTCCTCTTTCTGTCCAGCTCTTCCTCAAGACCTGGTTTAGTCCTGGTTCAGTCCTGGTTCAGACTCTGTAGCGCCCCCTGGTGTGTGTGTTTAAAGTGCTCAGGTCAGGTTTGGTCATTCTATTTAAGCTTTAACTTGAGTTTTCTCTCGTTGTGTAAATGTTTCTTGGTGTTTGACGCAGCTGCAGACGAGACGAGACTCAGATTATTATTATAATTCTGTAACTGTTTCCTAGCAACCAGAATGTAAACAAAGACCAGAACAGAATAAAAAGCCTTTGTCATTATTCAATAGTAAAATAAAATAAAACTGAGAACTGCAGCAAAGTGCAACAAGTAATAATAAATAAAACAGATGAACAGTTCTGGGGCAGAATCTGTCCCTAAACGCCACGTGCACTTTAAACGCCACGTGCACTTTAAACGCCACGTGCACTTTAAACATCATGTGCACTTTAAACATTGCGTGGACTTTAAACGTGCACTTTAAACGTTGCGTGCACTTTAAACGTGCACTTTAAACGTGCACTTTAAACGTCATGTGCACTTTAAACGTCCCGTGTGCTTTAAACGTCATGTGCACTTTAAACGTCCCGTGTGCTTTAAACGTCGCGTGCACTTTAAACAGACTCTTTCTGCAGTGTTCTTGTTTTAGCATCTGTGATCCTGCGCCCTCTGCTGGTCACAGGGTCACAGCCTGTACTTTAAACTTGACAATTACTACTACTACTACTACTACTACTACTACTACTACTACTACTACTACTAGTACAATTACTATTACAACTATATTTTACCACTACTGTAGTATTATTGGTCCACAGCAGGTGTTGAGTGTAGAGACCAACACCGAGAGACTCTGTCCCACACAGGGATCTAAACCTGGACTAAACCTGGACTAAACCAGGACTGAACCAGGACTAAACCAGGACTAAACCTGGACTGAACCTGGACTGAACCTGGACTAAACCTGGACTGAACCTGGACTGAACCTGGACTGAACCTGGACTAAACTGGACTGAACTGACTGAACAGGACTGAACCTGGACTGAACCAGGACTAAACTGACTGACCTGGACTGAACTGGACTGACTGAACCAGGACTGAACCAGGACTAAACCTGGACTAAACCTGGACTGAACCTGGACTGAACCTGGACTGAACCTGGACTGAACCTGGACTGAACCAGGACTGAACCAGGACTGAACCTGGACTGAACCAGGACTAAACCTGGACTGAACCTGGACTGAACCTGGACTGAACCTGGACTAAACCTGGACTGAACCTGGACTGAACCTGGACTGAACCTGGACTGAACCAGGACTAAACCAGGACTGAACCTGGACTGAACCTGGACTGAACCTGGACTGAACCTGGACTAAACCTGGACTGAACCTGGACTGAACCTGGACTGAACCTGGACTGAACCTGGACTGAAACCTGGACTAAACCTGGACTAAACCTGGACTGAACCTGGACTGAACCTGGACTGAACCTGGACTGAACCAGGACTAAACCTGGACTGAACCTGGACTGAACCAGTGTTTTTTATTCTATTATATCTTGTATAAGTTCTGTCACAGATCAAAACATCGAGTTACAAATCTAAAGTTTTCAGTTTTTTTAATGTAAACATTCAGTAAAATCAGAATTATTCCTGAAAAGTAAATCTAAATCTAAATCTAGTAAGTAAGTAAGTCTTTATTTATATAGCGCTTTCACAACATTTTCTGTCCCCAAAGACGCTTTACACAGCATTATTCAGCACTATTCATTCAGCATTCATTCATACAGCATTATTCATTCACTCTAAACCCTGATGATGGTAAGCTACTATTGTAGCCACAGCTGCCCTGGGGCTCACTGACAGAGGCGCGGCTGCCATGCCACTCGGCGCCATCGGTCCCTCCGACCACCACCAGCACTCACACACACACACACCACTTTCATACTAGGCAATGTGGGTGAAGTGTCTTGCCTAAGGACACAATGATTGAATTGATTGTATTTAACTGACCATGACTATCAACTGTTTATGGAGACCTATGTAGCATGTTTTGGGTTGATGGGGGAACCGGAGCACCCGGAGGAACCCATCCAGACACGGGGAGAAAATGCAAACTCCACACAGAAAGGCCTGGGCGACCGGGGATCGAACCCAAACCTTCTTGCTGTGAGGCTGAGTGCTAGCCACTCAGCCACCGTGCCGCTAAATCTGAACTGAGCTGTAAAAAATCTGACCTACAGTAAATCAATAAAAGAATAAAACACTGACAGAGTTAAAGAGCTTCAAGAAGATCCAGGTTCTTGGATGTTGTTCTCTGATGTTCTCACGTTGTTCCTCATGATAAACCTGCCTCCAGAGGTCCACGTGTGTTTGAGTCATCTAGAGATCTGTGTGGTGAGGTGTAGAAACCCTGTGAGTCTGTTGTTTTTTGGTTCAGTTTTGTCGTTCAAACAGAGAGAAAAGTGTTTGAGTGACAGTTCCTCACAGACGCATCATTCAAACCAACCAACCGTCAAACGCACACTCACTCTCTCCCTCTTTTCCTCCTCCTCCTCTCTCCTCCTCCTCTCTCTCCTCCTCCTCCTCCTCCTCCTCTCCTCCTCCTCCTCCTCCTCCTCTCCTCCTCCTCCTCCTCCTCCTCCTCCTCCTCCTCCTCCTCTCCTCCTCTCCTCTTCCTCCTCCTCTGCTTCTTCTTCTTTCTCTCCGTCTGCGTTGTTCATTTTGAAAGATGCACTTATTGACCCTCAAGTCTCCAACCTGCAGAACTAAACCAAGACTAAACCAGGTCTAAACCAGGTCTAAATTTAAACTAAACCAGGTCTAAATTTAAACTAAACCAGGACTAAATTTCAGCTAAACCAGGACTGAACCAGGACTGAACCAGGACTGAACCAGGTCTAGACCTGGACTGAACCAGGTCTAGACCTGGTCTCTGTGGGGTCTTACAGTCGTTTGTAAACTCTGGTTTAATCTCGTTTCACGGATAAAAACTCATTATAAAAATGAGACGGGGACAAACGATTGTGACGGTTAAAGGAACAGCCGTCTCCTAGCAACAGCTGTTTCAGAAAATGCACCACCCCCCCTCCTCTGTCTGCCCCCCGAGCCCCTCCCCTCTAACCCCCCCCCCCCCCCCCCCCCCCCCCGTGTGTCCATTCACAAACACGAGCAGAAAAAAACTACAGACAGAAGTGTGCCAAAAAAACAACACTGACCCCAACAAGACCTGCTCCAGACCTGGTTTAGTCCTGGTTTAGTCCTGGTTTAGTCCTGGTTTAGACCTGGTTTAGTCCTGGTTTAGACCTGGTTTAGTCCTGGTTTAGTCCTGGTTTAGACTGGTTTACTGGTTTAGACCTGGTTAGTCCTGGTTTAGTCCTGGTTTAGACCTGGTTTAGTCTGGTTTTACCTGGTTTAGACCTGGTTTAGTCCTGGTTTAGTCCTGGTTTAGTCCTGGTTTAGTCCTGGTTTAGTCCTGGTTTAGACCTGGTTTAGTCCTGGTTTAGACCTGGTTTAGACCTGGTTTAGTCCTGGTTTAGTCCTGGTTTTAGTCCTGGTTTAGACCTGGTTTAGTCCTGGTTTAAGTCTGGTTTAGTCTTGGTTTAGTCCTGGTTTAGTCCTGGTTTAGACCTGGTTTAGTCCTGGTTTAGTCCTGGTTTAGTCCTGGTTTAGTCCTGGTTT